ACATATATACATATATACACATATATACATATATACACATATATACATATATACACATATATATGTATATACATATATATATACATATATATATATATATATATACACATATATATATATATAGATAGGAGTGTAATGCTACACACATGACGCGGTTCGGTATGCACCTCGATACGGGTACGATTAGTAGGTTCATGGGACACTATAAAGTGACTATAGGTATGAATGTAAGTGTGAATGTTTGTTTGTGAGACCCTGAAATGGACTTCAGAATTATACCCCTCCCTCCCCCTAGATAGCTGGGATTGGTTGCAGTGCCCCTTCCCGCCCCCTTTTTCAACCCTGAAAAGGAATAAGCTATAGATAATGGATGGATGGATGGAGATCCTATTAACTGGCCCAGGCCTACGCATCTCCAAAAAAAATAATACAAGGTGTCTACATCTTTAAGTAAGTTACGTCCTGATAGAATTTATATCTGTTGTTTAACAGATGTACTAATAACTTTGGAATATGGTGATAATAATAAAAAACAGTGCTCGGACCAACAGCATTATCATTATTACAGCATGTGCATCTTACCCCTGTATTGAGAGCAGACTTGGTGGCCATGGAACAGTCATACATGGACAGACACTCACTGAGAATGGGAGACTTCCACGGATTAGCCATGACCTCTTCGTTCGTTAAGAAGTTGTACTGGAAGAGCTGCTTCACCCTGCAGATATTCACACTATTTAACCTCAATGTAACAGCGGAAATAATATTGGTATTCCTCAGAATTAGACACGAAACGAGTGCTGCTGCGTGTGCATTTTAGTGGGCGCTGTTTTTTGACAAATGCAGTTGCAAGTAAACATACTTGTGAACCCTCTGGGATTATATAGATTTCTGCATGAAATTGGTCATAAAATGTGTTCTGATTTTTTTTCTGTCTGCTTGAACTCAAACATTGTGGATCCGTTCCGTGAACGTTTCGCTCGATTGTGGTATTCTATGGTGTTTTCTTTTTAAATTTCCAATATTTTCATTATTTCTGTGATCAAAGCTGGAAAGGGTTACAAAAGTATCTATAAAGGCCTTGATGTTCATTTGTCCACGGTAAATGGAAAATGTTCAGCACTGTTGCTACGCTCTGGCGCGTGTAGATTTGTCAACATAAAACGTAACAACTGGTGAAACATTAAACAAGAATGGAGTTCATGGGAGGACAAAACGAAAAACAAATCACTGCGGTCCATAAGAAAGATCACAGAAGAGAAGTCAACTAAGTGTGACTGGATACTACTTTTTCACGTCCAATAACGACAATCATAAAATCAGCATTTTATTGTAAACTTCGTAATGCAAGACTGTAAAAACGTGACAGAAGTGAGTAGATAAAAGTCGACAGAAAATCTGTGAAACAAGACGCAAATAGATACAGGAAAGGCAGAAACACGAGGTCTACTGGACAGACTGACAAACTAAGTCAGACAGAAGGCTTCGTGGACCATGATGTTTGCAGATGATACTGTGCTCTGCATTATAGTAGGGAGTAGGCGAAATGGCATATGTGCTAAGTAAATATTGATGATGGGTAAAAAAAAGATATAATGTTCCTGTAGACGTTGTTGCAATTATTATACTGAAAATTCTAGTTAGACAAGAGGTGAATATTTCATCATGTCAATACCTGAGAAAGGTGAGTTCTCGCATTTTCTCCAAGGGAATATCCTCACCGGGCACACGAGCGAATAGGGGGTCATTTTCCAGGGTTCTGAAAATATGGTGCTGTGGCAAATAAACACTGCATTTAGCCCATGTTAGAAGGGCCTTAGGGAATAGAAAACACTGAATTTGTTTATAGAAGAAATTAAGTACATGATTTATTTTAATTCGTGTGTATTTTATTGTCTCTTAGCAGGACTTGTGCATTATTCAGTTCATTCCAAATTGAAATACGAGATAAACCAGCAGTCCACTGCTAGTTACCTAGCGGTATTAAGCCATTGTGGCACATTCAGTTAACTTGCAAGACTTCACCACAAACATTTGTCAAAGATAGATAGATTAGATAGATTAGGTAGATAGATGGATGGATGGATGGATGGATGGACGGATGGATAGATGGATGGATGGATGGATGAATGAATGGATGGATGGATGGATGGATGGATAGATGGATGGATAGATGGCTGGATGGATGGATGAATGAATGGATGGATGGATGGATGGATGGATAGATAGATGGATGGATGGATGGATAGATGGGTGGATGGATGGATGGATGGGTGGATGGATGATGGATGGATAGATAGATGGATGGATAGATGGATGGATGGATGGATGAATGAATGGATGGATGGATGGATGGATGGATAGCTGGATAGCTGGATGGATGGATAGATGGATGGATGGATGGATGGATGGATGGATGGATAGATAGATGGATAGATGGATAGCTGGATGGATGGATAGATGGATGGATAGATGGATGGATGGATGGATGGATAGCTGGATAGATGGATGGATGGATAGATGGATAGCTTGATAGATGGATGGATGGATGGATGGATAGCTGGATAGCTGGATGGATGGATAGATGGATGGATAGATAGATGGATGGATGGATGGATAGATGGATAGCTGGATAGATGGATGGATGGATGGATGGATGGACGGATGGATAGATGGATGGATGGATGGATAGCTGGATAGCTGGATGGATGGATAGATGGATGGATAGCTGGATAGCTGGATGGATGGATAGATGGATGGATAGCTGGATAGCTGGATGGATGGATAGATGGATGGATGGATAGATGGATAGCTTGATAGATGGATGGATGGATGGATGGATGAATGGATAGATAGATAGATAGAAAGATAGATAGAACTTTATTAATCCCTCGGGACAAATTTAGGATAACAAAGAGTAGCTTCTTGCCCATTGCAATATTTAACATCTGACACAATGGTTCTACATGGACACTTGGAAGATTTCAACCCAATACGATGTTACCTTGAATGCCAGAATTTCTTCTCCGTTTAGGAAGAGCAACAAGTCCTTCCAATTGAAAGAAGCCTTTTTCCTGTAGAAATCCAGGGGTCCACTGGGAAGGTCGGCCACTTCATATCCCATTGTAGCGATTAAAGCTGAAGTGGAATATATTTACACATTTTTAAACAAATTGGACACTGTGAAGTTTTCCGGGCAAGTGTTGGCTACGCTGTCCTAACTAGCGCTGTCCTCTATATGTACTTTGACTTTATATTAGATTTACATTCATGAAAGTGAAAGAGTAGAGTGGTTTAAGATTGCTTGTGTTGCTTTAGATCGTAATTTAAAAAAATAATAATACTTACTTGAAATAATATTTTATCAGAATTTTAATCAATTATTAGACATTTCCCCTATTTCCAGAATTCCATGCAACATGTACAAAAAATTTTACAAAATTTTACTTTGCTGTCCACACTGAAGGCCAAAGAGTGAGATAAGAAAGAAAGAAGAAAAGATATCAGCATACGAGAAAAAGAAATAAAATAAAGTATACACATGAATAAAATAACAAAATATACACATGAATCAACGGAAGTATTTTTCAGTATTTACAATGTGCAGTAGTTGACACTTGTGGATGTGCAAATTTGGCATGTGCAAAAGAGATCTTCTTTTAGCAACCTAGATCGAGAATCATTTATAATATAACTATATAAAAATTGGTTTAAGCAATTGATTTTTTTTTAAACATTTGAGAAACCTATTTTCTAGGTTTTTAATAGACAGATAGATGTTGAGTTACCCCTATCGTTTGAACCGTGGAAATATGTTTTCCGTCCCAAATCTTCCAGTAAGGACATTAAATTGCATGACGTTTTACCCAGTAACCTTTACACTCTTTGTATTGCACCCGTCCCGCAGTTTCAGACAATCGCTGTCATCATTGGACTTTCCTCGGAATATAATGCTGCAATAGCGACGTACAAAACCCCACAACTATTGCTCTTACTGGAAAACTACCCCCCGTGTTTTCTTATAACTAATCTAAGTTTTAACTACCCTTTCAACGAACATTCTGATTTACGTGATAACACCAAAAGTTGTGCGCCAACCTCACTTCACTTCGCATTGGCCAAAGTGGATAACGCGCGATACTCAGCCTTACCTTTTTCTCTTTTTGAAGCTAAGCGACTGTCCTCTTGAACACTAGTGTAGGTGTAAATCCCCGGTGTCTTTTTCTTGCAGCTGTATCCACGTTTAAGGCGAAGTTAGCAATACGACATTTCAGTGAGGTGAACTATTTAGAACAACCCTAGTATTTCCCGTCAAGATCCTTCACAATAAGAGCACCCGAGTCTTTCGCCAATCGACGGACGGACGGACAGAGACAGACTGGTCATCACTGATTAAACAGTTTTAAAGGTTGCAAATAATGGGCAAATAATGGGCAATTTGGCTTCCTGATAAAAAACTTATCGTAACGTATTTACATAACCGGCCCAAAGCATAAGCACTTAGTGGTCATTTAGGGCCATGAAATGAAACAAACATAAAAAACGATTGAAACATTTCATTACGTTACATTACATACTACGTATGTACTATTCATGGTTGGCACCCACAACTTTTCCTGTTGCTGGCAGTCCCTGATATAATGATACTATATAATATAATACTTTTTGTGATTGAGATACGTTTGAAAACAATAGGTAGAATGACTCTGGTATGATATAAGCCAACTTCAGACGATGCAAATGATACATGCGTGTTACATTCAAAATGTAGCCTATTAAACATTCACCTGCTACTAGCCAGGCGTAGGCAAACTTTTTGACTTTTCACAATTGTCCTAAAATTGAACAGGGGGCCCAGGTCAGGAGCAGATAGATGGAGAATCCATATGAACTAAAACAAATGCTTTTAGCTTTTTCTATGCCATCTATTGGAGAAATTCAGGCATTGCAGGGAAGAGGCACAATATAATGAAAATAGAAACGAATAACGTAATTTGAATTAGTTTGGTGGGCCGGATTAAAAATCCAAACGGGCCGCATCAAAGTTTGTCCATACCTGCCCTAGGTACTAGGGTTCAAGGGTCAGCTGGAAATAGAATGTCATTATATGTTATTTGGTCGTTTTGGTCTATTCTCATAAATGTTACAAATTAAAACTATAATTTTAATCAACTCTTTGTGTGTTTTGATTGAAAAAAACAACAACAAACAAATAAACCGTTACCTTTTCTTTACAAGGGCGGTACAGCTGTGTGACGCAATACGTATGCGACTGCTTCGATGGAAGCGACTGTCCTGTTGATCTGGGCGCTTTGGGCTTGCATACCATCTCCCCTTTAATTAATTATTTTGGACGTTTTGGGTTATTGTTGTGCGCACGTCTTGGATTGTGATCGGTACATGCATGTTTCGTTGAAAATATTTGTTTATCGTTGAACCAGAACACTGAGCAGGACATCAATAGTTGTCGCACAGACGGCGGCGACTCATTCCGCTGGTAACACCTGACTTCATTGAATGAGCTTTTATACCTATTACCTAAGGTTTTGATTGGATAGCCACGCCGTGTGAGACGCTTCGTCAGCCAGACGCAGCCAGGACACTTTTGTATAAATCGACAGGGTACGGTAAGCAAATACATGCAACCACATTCACTGCGGCAGTAGCATAACACAAAGCAACCGTTTAATTTGCTGCAGCTAACTGACGCTTAACCAGCTGACGACAAGATGGCTAACATGCTAACACTGTAGCATGGCGACACAACACAATTATGATGTCTTAGCTTGTGTTGAACGCTTACATTGGATGCTAAAACGTTGGTTTTCAAAGTCACGTTGGTTTTCAGTGCCATTGTATGCAATTTAGTAACGCAGCGAAAAAGACACAGTATTTACATGTCGCGCTGTAGATAGCGGTGGCGAGGACTATTTCCTGCATCTCAGATTATTGTTCTAAATGCAAAGCTGCTGTACTGCGTGTTTCCGCCAATGTAATTAAACAACTCAGATATCAACATTAATAATCGAGTAGCCCCGCGGTTAATTTGCTCAGGGACTGCTTGCAACGGAGGTCGGAGGGTAAATTCATAAATTCAAGGTAGCTAGCAAAGCTAAACTTGACTTCTGCACTGTGCTCAGCCACGCATGGTTATAACGAGACTCCCGGTTCTGTTCAAAATTCATTGTCATTAGCCGGTAAGTGGTTCGCGTTCATTGCGAAATGGTACAAATAGACAAAACAGGCAAATAAACATCGTCTACATAAAGAATGTTACACATTATTTTCCCTATATCCTTCCGAAAAACCGACATTTATCCGACGTTTTATTCAGCACCAGTTACAAAAACTAAATGTAGTTGAACAATTAGTATAAAGCGTCTGCTATTCAATAGATGTTTTATGTAATAAATATATTTTTAAAATATAATGCAAATCTGACTTTATAAAAATTTCTTATACATTCAGACACAAATCACACGTTCTCAAGTAGGTTTACGTCAGGCAATAATTGTGGACACTACTTGCCTGTTTTTCTCCGGTTTGCTAATAGCTGCAAAGACGTCAATTGACATCCTATACGTTTCATTGTTTAAGTTCCTAACAATAATTTAAATTATGCATTGTCTGCATAACAGTATAAATTAATGTCTTGCCTATAATTTTAGCTAAAAGAAACATTTATAAAAAGTGAACAAAACGAGACCAAGCACTGAAATTTTGGAAACTGTTTTGTTTGTAGTGTGTTGCACAAATAACTTCAATGCAAGGGTTAGGGACAAAACCAAAATCTTGAATATTTTTATTAATTAGGTTAAAGCCACTTTCTCAAATGTACGAACATAAGATGACTGCTAAAGAAGTAAATTATTTTTTACAGCCATGCTGTTTATGTTGCTGTTTAATTTGGCCTTTAGCATACATTATTGACACAGTATGTGAAATCTGAGGATTAAGATTACATCAACATGGAGAACAATATACCAGCCATTAACTTAAACTTAAAGTTAAATTTACTGATGACCTACTAGTGGCTTTTCAGGACGAATACATATGCTTACATTCAATATTATTAATCAGGGTACAGACACTATTTAGGCTTGTGAGCTACTATTCAAATGACTAGGCAACAGTGATCTACCTACACTGAGATTGTTAGAATATATATATATATATATATATAGATAGATAGATAGGTATGTAAAGACACATGATGAATTTATTAAAAACCCATACAAATGCGTGACAAATTGCCTAGGTAAGTGAACATCAAGGACATAGGGAATAGACTACATTATCCTAAAAGACTACATACTCTAGCACAGTCGATGGCATTATTGGTTTGTTACCCGCTTTTAAGATGTCATATTCCTGCGTAGTGTAAGTGGCAATCAGGCGTGCAAAGAGAGGAACAATTTCTAGTTAAAATTTGTTTCATTTTCTTTTTTTTTAATTTAATATATTGACAGTTAGCAAGGTAAATAAGATCAGTTTAACTTTTATTAAGTGATAAAAGTGATGTGCAGTGTTTCTGTAAAATAATATGCATTTTTTTGTATACAATTACAAATTCAGTTTATGAGGTACAGAAGACCATTGCAGTTCGTAACAGTATTTTGCATTTGTGTGTTTGGTCATAATTTGTATGGAGCTCATTTTGTTTCGATGGTATATATACATGTGTGTTTCATATATATATATATATATGTGTGTATATATATATGTGTGTATATATGTGTGTGTATATATATATATATATATGTGTGTGTATATATATATGTGTGTATATATGTGTGTGTGTATATATATATATGTGTGTATATATGTGTGTGTGTATATATATATGTGTGTATATATGTGTGTGTATATATATATGTGTGTATATATATATGTGTGTATATATGTGTGTGTATATATATATGTGTGTATATATATATGTGTGTGTATATATATATGTGTGTGTATATATATATGTGTGTGTGTATATATATATGTGTGTATATATGTGTGTGTATATATATATGTGTGTGTATATATATATATATATACACATACACATTAATGCGATAATAACGAAGAAGAGAATTGACCTTTCGAAAAACCCCGTCCCCAAACATTCATCGTCCAGAAACACACATCCTACAAACCAATATTATGTAACCAAGGTCCTTCAAGCTTGACCTCTGACAAGTGAAACGATAAAACTGTGTCTTCCTCGTGAACAGATTTTAGCCAGAAGTAGTATTAGCTTTTTTGTTTTGGAGATAGGATAGGATAGTGCTTTCGTTCATATGGCAGGACGTTAAAACATAAAAGTGCACTATACATCACTTTTGAATTGATTATTGCATTTTGCGTAACTGTGCGATTAATCACAAGAAGTCATGCAAATAATCATGAAGATGTATAATATAAGAATTAAATCATATAGCTGCATACAGTTAGATACAATTAATCAGTATCCCATTTAATTCATATATAAAGTATGTTCATGTAGTTTATATGGGGAAATATATACATACAATCTCAGTGTAGGTAGATCACTGTAGCCTAGTCATTTGAACTGGAGTAACTTTTTCAATTTTTGTCAAGCTGTAAATTCGCTAAATGTTTTAAGGCAAGTCAGCAACTAAGGCAACGAAGATACAGTATATCCGCTTAATTTTTACCATTAACCCTTGCAGTTTTCCATCATTTCTCATATACATTTTGTCATACAACATAGAGCCTTACCTATTTATTTAGTCAATTTCTTCATACACAGCCTTTCAACAAATAAATACTTACTTTAACCCAGTGGTTCTCAGCTATTTTCTGTCAGAACCCCCTCTCCCCCCAACCCCATGTATATTTTTCATCTGTACAAACCAATGTATGAGTTGCTGCCCCCTGGTGACTGGAGGCTTGTTATCCCCTCACACACCGCACCTCCCAGCGCTCCCGCCTGACTATTTAGTATTTAGTTATTTAGTACTCCTTTAACTGAAGTATATTCTCTCAAACCAAACGATATACCTTGTAATGGTAGTTAAGCACCTACTTTGTATTTTTTTGTTTTGATTCCATCCACACTAAATCTTTTGTGTTTTTTTTTTTTTTTTTCTTAGGAAACGAGCTGGCGCAGGTCGTGAGTTGTTCGTGGATAATGCGAGACAGTGGTGGTAGCCTTGCCCAGAACTGCTGGCAGGGAGATCTGGGTCTGACGGCTGTTGGACAGGACGACACAGGAGGTTGTTGGCATTTCATTAATATACAATTCAAGACTGGGCTATGTCACTTAATAGTGTTGTGATTTTATCTTCTTGTGCTACATCTCTTTGAACCTTGAGACCTCTAGATTTGATCATATAGGAGAAGTGATTTGTTTGTCACCCAGGTTTACACAGTACAGCGTATAGAGCACTTCACACCCCTGTTTTTGCTACAAGTTTGTGTATCCTCCTTCGTGAGCTTTTTTTTCTCTCTCTAAGATATGGCTAAATAAGTTGGTCAGTCTTGACGGAATTAATAACGGTAATTTGACATTTGACAAAAGAAACATTGTTTCCACTTGCGAAGGTTAATTCCGAAGGTGGTCTTCAACCCTCCCACATTTTTTTACACACCCAGCGCCCTCGCAATGGGTTCGCGTCTTTTCCCCAGAATCAGAGTATCAGGAAAAGTTGGCACAAGCAGTGCACTGCAGGAGCACACACGCATACACAGACACAAAGGCATATTATCAGCCACTGGTTCACATCGTCCCAAAGGACAACATGAGGGTTAATATAAAGGTATGTTGACAAATATTAAAAGTTACTTTTACAAGCATTGTTATTAAGTGTTGCTATTTTTAAATTTCTTGTATTTATCAACTATAATTTAAGCGTCTTTGTTAAAGCTTTATTCCGGGGGTCCTTGAATTACGTTCCGAGTTCTCTTCCTAAGAGAATACTGTACTCGCATACTGTACGTTAGTACCTTTGCCACTCACCTATGCTAACACAGAGGTAACATCACAATCCAGGACAGGCGTAGGCAAACCTCCTGACCAGGGGTGCCAGGTCAGGAGCAGAAAGATGGAGCGAAGATAAATAATGTGTAAAATTCATGCATAAAGGCTAAAATGCTTTTATTTTTTCTACTCCATCTATTGGGGAAATGTGGGTATTGCAGGGAAAAGGCAGATGTGTAATGATTACACTTGGGAACCATAATGAAGTGCAAAAAGTTTCCAAAAAACAACATAAACGAAAGAAAGCAAATATAGCACAGTCTTACCCGCCAACTTGTTCCCACGCAAACGGCAACACGTTGCCGAGTTTTACTGTTGTGGATCATGGACGTTATAAACCAGGGACCCCCTGAATTGGTCTGTGGTTCTAAAGTGACAGGTGAAGCTCATTACAATTAATGTTTTTGTCTAGGTGGAATTCCTGGTGACCACCTCATCGTCCCAGTGTCAGGTCACAGTATCCCCAGCTCAATGCACCTTAGACTGGGACAAAAGGAGACAGTGTGGACAAACAAATATGCAGATGAGGAGGAAAAACACGGAACAGGAAGGATTGTAGCATTAGGTGATAAGGGAGAAGAAAACATTGTGAATCCGAAGGACATGGGGGAATTTGACTACAATGACTGGGATCAGAATGAGGTGGAGGAGGAGGAAGAAGATGAGGATGATGAAGAAGAAGAAGAAGAAGAAGATGATGATGAAAATGAGGAATACGAAGAGTGTACGGAAGAAGAAGTCAACAAAGCGGAGTCGGAGTGGGACAAAGGTTTTCCCTACCAGTGCACTCGGTATTCAAATTCACACTATCAGCATTGTCAACCACAACAAAGGGCTGAAGGCGACAATTACATTGAGGATACTATGTTCAAGGCTGAGAAAACGTATTTGGTAGGGTCCCACGTCAGCAAGTGCAGGGTTCAGAGAAGATTCCGGCGCTGGCAGCGTTTAAGGTCTTACAGTGGCCTTCGATTTTGCCTCAGCAAACATTGGAAGAGCTGGCGCCAGCGTGCCCAGTGGGTGTGCCTTCTCGGACACAGGTGGAGTCGAAAGGACCCAAGTTACAAACTGTACAGCAAGCAGAGGAGAATAAAAAAGTACTGGCAGTCAACGTACACACGGGGAGAGGACGATAGTAACGCCGAGAGGTTCACAGAGTCTGACAGAGGTACTCACAGAAATTTTTTTTTTTTAATTTTTATTTTGACAACTAGATGTCTTCAGTTCTTATGCTTTCACATTGTACTTTTGGTCATTGAATTAAAATACAACAGCTAACTCTGCATATATAAAATATTCTGGTAATTTTTTTTGATCTTAAGAAACATGCAGTTGGATTAATCACAGCAACGGAAAAGTCTGAATATTTCTCAAAGGACAGTTCAATCATCTCTTTCTACTGCTTTATAGAGAATACTTTTCTTTCAACTACAGATAAGCAGATGAAAAACTGCTCCCCAAACAAGCAAGAGGACAAAGGAAGAGAGGAAGTGGACATCAAACCGGTTCCCCTTACCGAAGAACACATGAGCTGTGTTACTGGTATAGATCAAAGTTACATTTTAGAATTTTGGCCTACTGATGATGTTCAGATTAGAATAAATAAAATAGTGATGCGACAAAAAAAAAAAAAAAACGATATTTTCTAATAACTGTCGTGTTTTTCTTTCTCTCTAGTTATTCTTAACGAGTCCCTACAGCAGTACGGGAGTTTGATTCCCATTCAGGTCGACGACGTTGTTGAAAAACTTCAAGATGTCTTCAACGAGAGCTTCTCTCAACCACAAAGGTCAGACTCATGTTAGGATAAAGTGCTAGAGTTTTTGTTTGTTTTTTTAAGAAGAATAGACGTTTGTTTAATTGATCTCAATGTCACCTCATTTTTTTTTTCTTCAATAGGAAAGTAATGGTTCAGCACCTAATACAATCATTTCAGCGGTCTTCAGGGTCAGCGATAGCTAAAACATTCAAAGTCAACTACAAACGGCATGTACTAACCATGGATGACCTGGGCACACTGTATGGACAGAACTGGCTCAATGATCAGGTACAGCTCTTTTTATGGCAACTCAGTGGTGTGTGGTTTCTCAACCCAGCTTTACATTCTTTTAAACTGCTCTACAAGCCTAATTTTCTAAAGTTACTGTTAGACATTGCAAATACTTTATACCGTAATTTCCGGTGTATAAGCCGGTTTTTTTTTTTTGTTTTTTTTTACAAGCTTTAATCCCTGCAATTTAAACAATGATGTGGCTTATTTATGGATTTTTTGGGCTAACGAAGTTCATACCGCTAGCGATCAATGACTTTTCTGGTAGGCTACTGTGTTATGCTAGTAGCATATGTCTGTCTGTGAATGATTGTGTGTGTATATATGTGCGTGGGACACGCATGAGAGAGAGAACAGTAGCGAAAGAGAGCAGTTTGAACCCTGTCATGTTGAAGAGTGAGTTGGTTATACAGGAGCTGTTTATGTTCTGTTGTGGTCGGAGTGGCTGATAATAAAAACCCCAACTTCCCTGTTTCTGTTTACCTCTGCTGTGGACAAGCACAAAGTGAAGGGAGTTAGCCCCGGAGCTAATGTTAGCTTCAGACCTGGAGCAGATCACTAAGTCTCCTCTGTGCATTCCAACTACGGTCGGGGCGCTAAAGCAATAAAGGTTACACGTTATGTAACCAGCCGTGTTACAGGCACTGTTTAGAAAAAAGCATTTATTTAATTAAAAGTGAAAAAATATCGAAATAAATATTCTATCACCTGCGGCTTATAGAGAAGTGCGCTCCATATATGTACAAATTTATTTTTAAATTTTGTGCGTGCGACTTATATTCAGGTGCACCCAATAGTCCGGAAATTACGGTAATCACGTTGTTACGAGTCAATTATATTGTGCAAATTAGTTTTTTTTTTAATGTTCTAATTCCACTGTGTACACGCTGCAGCTTTACTTGTGGAGCAAGTGGACTGTCCTCATCCTCCATATTCTTTTCCTTTTTCTAGGTTATGAACATGTATGGTGATCTAGTCATGGATTCCGTGCCAGAGAAGGTAAGGATATACATTTCACTCGCTTATTTTATTTGTAATTTCATTTTGTTGTCTTTGGCATGTAGAAGACGGTTAATATACAAACCAATAATGTAGAGAAAAAAAGCAAAGAGACTTTGTCTCTAAAAAAGAGCTAATGTTAGGGCAAAACCTAAACTAAGGGGGTGTGGGGGAGAGGATGATGCGAGAGAGTGAGAGTCCAAACTTTCACGATATACAGGCACAAAGGTCACAAAATTAAAATATTGTGAAAAATATGTTTGTCAATCACCTCAGAGTAAATATCATTTATTATATAGCTTCATCACACATGGAGTAAAATATTTTGTATAATATATAAGTTTGTGTTCCTTCCTCCTTTCTGATGATTGTGACCTACAGATAATTGAAAACCCCTAAAACTCAAGTGTCTCAGAAATTTAGATAACCTCAGAAGAGTCTGACTTCCACTTTTTGAGAAAGCGAATGTAGCACACTGAGTGAATGTAAAGACATCTTCTGCATATAGTGCTGCGCGAAAACGCCTTTATCCTCTTTAGCCAACTACATTCCATGAAAACCGGTTGGCCAATTTTAACGCGTACGTCAAAATGACGGTTTGATGATTTGAGACAAATGTGGTTTGTGAATGTGGGCTATACAAATAAAATTGACTTCACTTGATAAATTTATCAAAAATGGCAACCGTAAAAACTGCAGGTTGAGGATGTGGTAAAGCAGTGGTTCTCAATTATTTTCGGTCATGCCAACCCAACTCTGAGCCACACCCCCGCGATTTGAAATGCTATTGAGAACCTGATAACATGTATATTTTTATCTGTACAAACCACTGCATGAGTTGCTGCCACCTAGTGACTGGAGGCTTGTTATCATTCAAGCATTACAGCAGTGGTACACTTATGCCCTCCCCACTATTTGAGAAGTACTGTCGTAATCCGAGGACCTCCTTTATTATGAAAAGTTCAACACTGGAAACTCATGGTGTCGCACACTATTCAGCTAATTAACATAAAACTCCTGGGAAGTCTTTTAGAGCATTTGAATGGTCTCTGAGTCTAGGTCAGTATGCTACATACGTAAACATTGGAAAGACTGACCATGCTGACCTGACAAATGTCCAGAAGATTGTCATTGACACCCTCCAAAAAGCTTATTGCTAAAGAAGCTGGTTGGTCAGAGTGTACACCAGCAACAGGGATAACCACAGTCTTGATAGGATTGTCGAGCCAAATCAATTCAAGAAGTTGGACGAGCTTCTCAGTGAGTGGACTGAGGCTGGACTCAGCACAACAAGAGCCACTATGCAAAAACAATTCTTAGAAACGCGCTTCAAATTGCGTTCTTCAAGTCAAGCCGCTCCTGAACCAGAGACAGCAAGCCTAGACATCTTACCTGGGCTAAGGAGGTAAAAAGACTGTGGCTCAGGGGTCCAATGTCCTCTTTTTTGAGAAAAGTAAATGTTGCATGTCATTTGGAAAGACCCAGAGTCTGGAACAAAATCGGGAACAGAATTAGGCATGCTCGTAGTCGTAGTGTGATGATCTGGTGCCATGTCACCTGCTCGTCACCTGCTTGGTCCACTGTGTTTCCTGCAGTCCACAGTCAACGCAGCCAACTACCAGGAAATGGTCCTGCACTTAATGCTTCCTTCTGCTAACAAGCTTAGTGGAGATGCCAAAGGTACCAAAAGCTGGTTCAATGGCCATGATGTTCCTGTGCTTGATTGGCCAGCCCACTCACCTGACTTGAACCCCATAGAGCAGGGGTACCAAACTTAAATTCACACTAGGCCAAAATTAAAAACGGTGACGAAGTCACAGGCCAAACTTGGGCTATTGTCACTATAGGCTGCTACAAAAGCAGTCATGGCTTTCATTGCACCTCAGCTGTCTCACAGGCTGATCACCTCCATGCCACGCAGTATTGAAAAGAGAGGTCCAACCAAACACTGAGTGAATAGATATATATACATGTTTTTCGGAAGCCTGACATTTGTGCTAAAATATCCTTTTTTTAAAATAATGTACTATTCTAATTTTCTGAGACATTGGGATTTGGGTTTTCATCAACTGTAAGCCATAATCATCACAATTCTAATATGTAAAAGCTTTAAATATTTCACTCTCTATGTAATTTATATAACATGAGTTTCACTCTCTCAAATGATTGACAAGAAATGTTTTTTTTTAAATAAACTATTAAAATAGTCTAATACTATTGCCTACATTTTCTTTTGGTGAAAACATACTGTAATTAAGGAATCATTATTAATTTCAGTATCGTCCAGTGTAGTCATTCAACAACCATGCATTTGATGTTTTTATGTTGAGAAGGAGAAGTGAAATATAAGAGGTTTTGGCAAATAAATCATCTTTTGTTTTTGTTTTTTGTTTTAGGTTCACTTTTTCAACAGCTTCTTTTATGATAAACTAAGAACTAAAGGCTACGACGGAGTCAAACGGTGGACAAAAAATGTAAGTGGTTTTTTTTTATAACTGCAGGTGAAAGATTTTCTCAGGCAATTGATTCATTTGTGCCTGAAAGTACATAAAGTATTCAGACCCCCTTAAATTTTTCACTCTTTGTTATATTGCAGCCATTTGCTAAAATCATTTAGCAAGTTCATTTTTGTCCTCATTTGTCCCCCCCCCCCCAATTGACAGGAAAACACAGAATTGTTGACATTTTTTGCAGATGTATTAAAAAAGTAAAACATCACATGGTCCTAAGTATTCAGAGCCTTTGTATTTAGTAGAAGCACTCTTTGGAGCTAATACAGCCATGAGTCTTTTTGGGAATGATGCAACAAGTGTTTCACACCTGGATTTGTGGATCCTCTGCCATTCGTCCTTGCAGATCCTCTCCAGTTCTGTCAGGTTGGATGGTGGACTTTGGTGGACGGCCATTTTCAGGTCTCTCCACAGATGCACCATTGGGTTTAAGTCAGGGTTCTGGCTGGGCCATTCAAGAGTCAGAGTTGTTGTGAAGCTACTCTTTGGTTATTGTAGCTGTGTGCTCAGGGTCATCATCTTGTTGGAAGTTGAACCTTCAACCCAGTCTGAGGTCCTGAGTACTCTGGAGAAAGTTTTCATCCAGGATATCCTTGTACTTGGCCGCATTCATCTTTTCTTTGATTGCAACCAGTTGTCCTGTCCCTGCAGCTGAAAAACACAATTTTTTCTCACCATCTTGGAGTCCTTCAGGTGTTTTTTAGCAAACTCCATGCAGTCTTTCATGTGTCTTGCTACGAGGAGAGGCTTCTGTCGGCCACTTTACCATAAAGCCCCGACTGGTGGAGGGCTGCAGTGGTGGTTGACTTTCTACAACTTTCTCCCATCTCCTGACTGCATCTCTGGAGCTCAGCCACAGTGAGCTTTGGGTTCTTCTTTACCTCTCTCACCAAGGCTCTTCTTCTCCCCTGATTGCTCAGTTTAGCCAGACAGCCAGCTCTAGGAAGGGTTCTGGTCCCAAATGTCTTCTGTTTAAGGTTTATGGAGACCACTGTGCTCTCAGGAACCTTAAGAGCAGCAGAATTTTTTTTGTACCCGTAGCCAGATCTCTGCCTTGCCACAATTCTCTCTGAGCTCTTCAGGTAGTTCCACTGACATGATTCTCATGTGCTCTGACATGCTCTTAGGTCTTAAGGTCCAAGGTCTTATATAGATAGTTGTGTGGCTTTCCTAATCAAGTCAAATCAGGATAATCAAACACAGCTTGACTCCAGTGAAGGTGTAGAACCATCTCAAGGAGGATCAGAAGAAGGAAAGGAAAGTGACCATGTGATATTTCAGTTTTTCTATATTAATGAATTTGCAAAAATATCAACAATTCTGTGTTTTTCTGTCAATATGGGGTGCTGTGTGTACATTAATGAGGAAAAAAAATGAATTTAGCAAATGTAGCCTCTCTCTCTCTATATATATATATATAAAAGAATTTAAAATGATTTTAAGTTTTAGCCATATTTGATTGTCACCTCTGTTCTGTACCATTAACCCTCTTTTTTTTTTGTCCTTTCTCTCTGCTTCACCAGGTTGACATTTTTCAGAAGGATTTATTGTTAATTCCCATCCACCTAGAGGTTCACTGGTCACTGGTTAGTGTTGACATTCCTCATCGGGCCATTACTTACTTTGACTCTCAACGGACGCTTAATCGACGTTGCCCAAAGGTGGGAGCACGGTATTGTTTGAAATTTTGGAAAATATAAGCAATGTAAAAATGTAAAATGTATAGAATGTAAAAAAAAAATAGAAATGTGCCCAGATATGTATAGAATGAAAAAAAAAAATAGAAATGTGCCCAGATAGTCTGTTGACCTGGTTCCAGTTCATAAACATTAAGATCATTACTAAGACTTATTAGTGAAGTCCGTTATCTTCTTTATTTCATTTATTTTTGTAGATTTAAATTGAAATGGATACAAATGCATAAGCTAAAATTAACAATAAAATAACATTATATTGTCCTATTGTGTTTTCAATAAACGTTTGTTGTTTGCAGCATATTTTTAAATACCTGCAAGCGGAGGCAATTAAAAAAGATCGTCGAGATTTCTTGACTGGATGGAAAGGCTTTTTTAAAATGGTAAGACACCGTTTTAGTGTACATCTCTCCTGATCTGACAAATTGAAGTTGTTTGTTTTGCCCCTCTAAAGACCTATTACGGCTCCTGTGTTCTAGAACGTGGGGCGTCAAAACAATGACAGTGACTGCGGTGCGTTTGTGCTACAGGTGAGTCTTAAACATTTCTGAGCTCTGCATACAAAATACTGTATACACAAACAATACAGTAATAGTAAATAATTGTGAAAGCATACCCTTTGCGTTTTACTAAAATTCATAGTTATCCAAATGGTATTACACATTTACAGAAAATCAAATATTATTTAGATAAATACAGTGGTCCGCGAAATGGGAAAAATCTCAATGTAGGGGCGAGATAGTTATTATATTATTTACGTATATATTTACCCTTTACATACCTCCTCCACACGGTGATCAACCCTCCCTAGACTGTTTTACCCTTTCCCACACAATTATATGCACAGTAGAGTTGTAGAACGGCGACCCAGAGCAAAGTGAACGAGAGAGAGTGACCATGGGGAGATGCTACTATGCATCAGCCAATCAGCATAAGGAACAGAAGAGCATGCTCAATTAGTCAATAGCACACCGAGTACGCATTGTATTAGCCAATAGTACGCCGTGTACGATCTCGTCTAGGTAAACAAAGCTACCAGCGATCATTCGCAAATGCACTTATCTCAATTTCAAAAATGAAAAAAAAAAAGCATTTATTTAATTAAAAGTGAAAGAAAAATATCTTTCTGTGTAAATATTCATGGACACCTGTAGGTTATAGGGAAGTGCGGCCTAAATATGTGCTTTTTTTTTTTTTTTTAATTTAGTGGCTGCGGCTTATATTCAGGTGCACTCAGTAGTCCGAACATAACGGTAAATCTCGCACAAGATAATCCAGGCTCTTCTCATCCATTGGTCCAACCAAGCACTTCCAAACAGAGGCACCCCCCCCATAGACTTCCACTTTTCTAACTAGTTGGTCTACTTTCAGGAGTTTCTCATTGTAGCTTGATTGTTAATCCACCTCTTGTTAGTCTTTGGATAAAATCGTCTGCTAAATGCGTAAATAAAAACAACAACCCATTAAAGATTAAGGCTCCCACGTCGGACTCCCAAGCCTTTTAAAAGTATCTTCACAGGCATGGTCGCATATCTGTAAATGCCCCATAATTACATGTTGGTCCTGAGGATATACAGTACCTTAAAATACTGCAGCATGGTTCAGTTTACTGCATAATATATAGAGATGTTTTAATACAACTTTTCCCTGTCAATATCAATCCGATACCTACTTTTCCCATCCAGCGTGCCACAGGCTGCCGTTGTTAGACAATGGTGTCCCTGTTTCTGACATGTCGCACAAAGTTAAGTTGACCATTCGGGCATGGCTATTGGATTGGATGGGCTATAGTTGTTTTTTTTGAAAATGGCCAACATTGGACCGATACCAATCCTGAGTATTGATCTGAGCCAACCCTAATAATATACTGTAGATTTTACGTGTTGTGCAATGACATTGTTTTCTATTTGAATTGTACATGCTGCGGGCGTCTCACTTTTCTCTCATTTTGCCTCCTCCTACTCTCCAGTACTGCAAGTGTCTGGCCCTAGGACAGCCATTCAGTTTCGGCCAGCAGGACATGCCACGGCTGAGGAGACAAATGTACAAAGAACTCTGTCACTGCAAACTCATCCTGTGACCAATCATTGCTGCCCCTTACCAATTTTCTTCATCCCCTCCCACCTTGATTCCCAAAGGTAGAGAGTGATGATACAACAAGAAGAGGACACGGGAGCGAGAAAATTACTGACTGTCAAGAAACTTAACAAAACCTTTTTTTTTTTTTTTTTTTTTTGCCAATATCCAGAGAAATTACTCTAATTTATCGGTAATGTGTTTGTTTTGGTTTTTTATCTCTTTTTACTTTAAGTTCTTCACTCTTTAAACACTCTTGACATTATGGATGATGAAGAATCAAGGCATACGAAGGTCCAATACAGAAAGGAGTGTTTGTTTGCCATTGCACACCAGTGAAATTCCATGTTTTGTTTTTGTTTTTGTTTTTTTTTTAAATCCTTTCAGTTGTGTCCCATTCCAAATGTCCATCACGAAGAGTTGGATGATGATGGCCTTGATGTATTGGAAGCAGCTTATTTTGTCATAGCCAGTCTTAGACATATGATGATCTAGCTGAGCCAGCACTGGACTGACACATTTCTGACAACATTGTTACCATATTTTTTTTGAGTCGGATTTAGAGTGAGTTTCAAATATGTTGATAACATGCTAATGCAGTACCATATTTTGTACGAAAACTGAAATCAAACGACACCCTTTGGAGCCAAGAGCCTTCCGATGACTTGGTTACAACTACTAACTATTGACATGGGACCTGTTAGTAGCTCCCACAAATGAGCCACAGTGTCACTGGCCCAAGGATAGGGCAGCTTTACACGACAATTTTTTTTCTTCGTTTTATCTCTGTCGGTAAAAGTGTAATTATGTTTTGGCCTTACATGGTGTTAAACAGAGGATAACCCTTATGTACAGTGTTCAGTGTAAGGTGTGATAAGGTCCTCTCTTTTTTTTTGTTGTTGCTGAGGGTTTGAAAGCCCCTATCGGTGTGGACAAAGACAACTGAAAAATAGATGAAGCACGTCCACCGTGAAATAATGGTTCCCTCGTATTTTTCATGAGAGACACTTTTTTTTCCAACAGGAGCTGATGTAAGATGGCAGTTTTATATATTCTCTGCATTTCTTTATGATTGATTAAAAATAAAAACACGTGGCAAGAGGTGTTTTTTTTTTTTTTTTTTTTTTTTTTTTTTTTTTTAACTTGTCATGTCTACCAGTTCACTGTAGGCATGTAATATGCTATCTGACCTTTTTGTCATACAGATTTACAGTATGATATCCTTATTTTTGTCACGTTGTGCAAAGTTTCTTTTTAAGTCTATTGTATTAAAGCATTTTGATTTTGATTCATATGGCATGGATGGGAGTGAAAGGGGGGTGACACAGAAACATTTTAGAAAAAAAATAAATGTTTAAAGCAATTATTTTAGCCTCTCCTGCTCCTTCCTGCTGCCTTGATCCCGGGAAAATATTGGGATAAAGTGTTAGAGAGGTTGAAGCAGAGCTGCTAAACAAACTATATTGCAGTCAGGATAGAAAGGCTAAAAGTAAATCATTGGCATTTTACTTATTTTTAGTTGTGTGTATGTAAATGAGCAGATATAAATGCGTTTATAAAGTTGTGAGGAGAAACTAAAGACCCAGTATTTAACACTTTAACATTTTGGTCAACTGCTGTGTCAAGTTAATTTAATTAGTATAGCACAAATTCACAACACACACTGCAAAGTAATGTGCGCTCGCTCCTCTACTAATGTGCATTAACTTCATCATGAGTTTAGCAATTGGGAATAATTGTCTTCTCTGAATGTGAGCAAAACCAAGAGCGCAGCAAAGTAAAATCGGTGTCAACAAAAGTGTATTTGCTGTACTCTACTAAAGGATCGAATACCTTATTAGGAGTTGATGCGGAATGTGAAGTGTCAATAGTGTTGTCGTTTATTTTCATTCACATTCTCATGTGCAGGAACTACCATCTGACAAAGGGTGAAGAATGTAAAGTGGTGCCAGGTGAAAGTGTAGCAACGCAGCAAGGGATGTTGCTAAGGTAAGGGTGGAATCAAAGAAAGCGATTCTAGGCGGAAATTAAGATTAAATGGTTAAATTAAATGGAGGAGTATTGCAGAGAATTTAAGTCATATGTGTCAAACTGTCAAACAAAGGCCTGGGGGGGCCAAATGTGGCACGGCAAGCCATTGTGTGTGGCCCGCGGGATCAAATGTGGCACGCCAAGCCATTGTGTGTGGCCCGCGGGATCTTAAGAAGCATTTAGTAAAGTCCATGCAGCAGAGTTTTTTAACCTAAGTAATTAAAAGTCCACAATCCACACAAAAATCGACGTGTATCCTGTAATATGACAGTACTTTCTTCTGTTCCAACATAGAGTGTCATACATATTCTTGAATGAGTCTTTTCTGTTGGACAAAATACAATAATATAGGTTCCACCATAGTAAATGGGATCTATGTATAGTATATTATACAAACTGTACAGATCCATATACACTTCTTAAAGAAGGCACTCTATTTTCTAATATCAGAAATAATTTCATTGTCCATCTCACATCCTAGTTCTTTTCTTGGTAGCAGCCAACTTACTTCATCTATTAGATGGCTTTGAGATACGTGCTTCCACCAAAATGGGTCACAAAAATGATGAGTGTTAATAAAATAAATACAATTTGTTTCTGTATTTAATAGTCACTTTATAATTCTAGAGGCTTATTTTAAAAAAGTAACAGCAAGCTTTGGCTTCATATGTGTGAAAGTAGTTACTAGCTTTAATATCATTCGTTCTTAGTAGACTCCATTTTCACAACATTCAGACATTTTTTTGTCTTTAGGACTCAAAGGTAATGTATTAATAGCTGAGTTCATTATTTTAAAACCGTTGACAGTGTCAACTTTATAACGTTACAAGGTACGTTTAGTGTACTAAATTTTGTCCCACCCCGGCGGCTCAAAAACGTGACAGACGTACTGATGACGTCAAGAGCTACGACTATAACTGCAGCTCTCACCAATCGCGGACTTCAGAACACGACACCGCCCGCCTTCTTTGAAGGCGACGTATCAAAGCACAGATCAGAACTGGACATGGGCGGGGACTGCCAAATGACTGGGAAGTGTTGAAATGTGTTCTTTCTTTGTTAATAGTCGACGTTTATGACACATTTTCTCTAGCAGTTTCGGTGTTTGCGAAAATGTCTGCAGATCAAAGGTAAGGAAAACCTGGTTAATTTTCGGCGACCTAACAGTGTTTGAGTATTCCGTTGATTCGAGAAAAGCGTTCATGTTAACGGTAACTTTAGTTATTTGGGGACCGGTTGAATTATTTCGGCCTTTTGAGCCTCCAACGTTTAGGCCATGTCGTCTTACAGTGAAAGCACAACTCTTAATTCGTAATATTTATGCCGGGCGACGAGAGATATCCGTACTTCGTGTTTGTTACTCCATGATTTTTCTATTTTCTATGTTTGAGTTGGTGTTTTGAGGCAAGGATTGCTCTCTAAAGTGTTACGTTGAACCAAAATGGCAAACCGTTGCTTGAGCAGCACGTGAATGATCTGTAAGGCCACGCCGTTTTTCAAATGCCATTTAAGCCGGTTATATCAAAAATAGTTACAAGGTAACTGTGAAATTACTCAGGATATTAAAGTTTAGGTAAATGTCAACCATGTTCTAGCGCTCAATAGGGTTAAAACATACATTCTGGTATAGCGCGCACATGGTCGTCGTGGTGCTGCCTGATGCCGGGACAATGCCGGCAACGCGTGTTACCGAGCAGCGTTGAAATATAGAAACGAATGTTCGCTGCTGTATAAAAGAATAGTCATGTTGACCTGTGTTCAGCGTATTCTGCCTTCAATGTTTTTTAATTAATCAGAATGCCTATATACGATGACATTAAATTAGCAAGGCCTACTTCTAGCGGCGTAGCTAGCCGGGGCTAACTCTAGTTACGAGCTTAAATGTCCAATGCCACGTTTTACGCTTTAAAAAGTAACGCGACGGAAGTGGTAACGTTGATATCATTTTAATGTCGCTTAGACTTAAAATAATACGTGACGATTATGGGCATTGACGTGGCGGTGTTACATTTTCCTCTTTTGACCGTAGCCTGGGAACAACCATTTTGTCTGAAAGTGCTAGAAATGGCGGACCCCGGGAAAGGGTACTTACGGGGTTTACAATTGCCTTTACAAAACGGATACATCTAGATATTAATAGATGTATAAACGTATAGTTTTAGCTATGTGTGTATTTATTATACGTATGTTGTATGTTTTATATATATATGTCAATTTGGTCACGTGTCTCTGTTAGTCTTTAATGTTGAGGTATCACCGTGTGTTACTATACCACCTAACTTGACAAACGTTCTTGTTCATTTTAGAGACAATGGCCCAGAAGGCATGGAAGTTGATGGAATCATTGAGGTGAGTCTGCAAGCTTATTGAAGACTTAGCCACCCCACCCTCAATTTATGCACAGTTGTCTTTTAAGGTAAAGATAAGATCATCCACAGCTATGGGCCTGGTATTCCAGCTAATTGGTGACCTGCACCAATATGCCCATGGGCTAAATTCATCAGTAGACACAAGAGTGGCTTCCCTGTTTGACATGGATGCATTCTTTTATTGTAGCACTTATTTAACAGACACCATATAACCAAAGTGACGTGTGCTTGCAAAGTCTGAGAAAAAGAAACAATTGTGACATCTAGTTCAGTCAGGTGTAGGTTTTTAAAATTTTACCACCACCAAAATGACCTAGATTGAGCAAGGTATCAAGTAATTTGGTGTGTTGCCTTTTCAGAGCAACTGGAATGAGATTGTGGACAGTTTTGATGACATGAACCTGTCTGAGTCCCTGCTCAGAGGAATTTATGCCTATGGTTTTGAGAAGCCATCTGCCATCCAACAGAGAGCAATTATTCCTTGCATCAAGGGTAAGCAAACTGTTATTTAACTTGGAAAAATGAGAAAAGTTAGTTGTTTTTATTTTTTGTAAAATTGGCATGATAATTTCCTTAAACCCCATCTGTCAAAACTTCAACATGTAAAATGTTGGATTTTTCCTTGTATTTGTGATGAATTTAATCTAGACAATGATCACACAGATCATGAGTAGTTTTACTCCATACACAGTGAAAATATTTGTTTGGTTTTTTTTTAACCCCCAGGTTATGATGTGATCGCTCAGGCCCAGTCAGGCACTGGGAAGACTGCCACCTTTGCCATTTCCATCCTCCAGCAGGTTGATGTTGAGATGAAAGCTACTCAGGCTCTGGTCCTGGCTCCTACAAGAGAGCTGGCACAACAGGTAAGCGGACAAAACTTGGGCTTTTGTGAAGACATGCTGAACTGCATTAGTTTCTGTTTTTACTTCTGGTCAGTTTATGGGTCTCTTGGGGATAAATGGTTTGGCGCTGTAACATCTGTTGTAGCTGCAAACAGAAGCCCCAATCAAAACTGCTGTATTATGATGAAATCCATGCGTGTCAACTGACTCTGTTGACCCTGCGGTGTTGTTACCCATGTTAGCGTTTTGCTAATGTGAGCTTTCACCACAACAGGACTTCAGAGACATGATCACACCTTCACACTTCTGAATACAGCACCATTACACTTTTTGAAAACAGCACAGTGGTCATTGACGGTGTCACTGCCTTTAAGGGCTTGGCAGTGCCATTCTTCTAGTATGTACATTCTAAGTACATACTTAGAAAAGGTTACTGGTTAAATAGGGCCAGTAGAGGAAACTAGCAACTTGTCAGGCATTGTTTAGCTTGACTTTAGTGAAGGTTGTCTTGACAAAAAGGCTTTGTGCTAGCACTGTGCTAAAAAGCAACCAGTTTACTACATGCTCTGATCAAAACTATATATTTGTAGTTTGTTACATGCCACACAAAGTTAAAATTCTTCCCTGAATGTTTTTTTTTTTTTTTTCCCAGATCCAGAAGGTTATTTTGGCCCTTGGTGACTACATGGGAGCCAGTTGCTATGCCTGTATTGGAGGGACCAACATTCGCAATGAGGTCCAGAAACTACAAGCTGAAGCCCCTCACATTGTTGTGGGAACCCCTGGTCGTGTTTTTGACATGTTGAGCCGCAAAAACATTTGTAAGTTGATGGCACTTTGAATTTGAGTCTTTAGAGAAACTTAGATCAACGACAAGATTAAACCTACATTGTAACTATTAGTCAGTAAAATAGAAATTGTCATAATTCATTTATTTAGGTCTCTATTCATGGTCAGAAATGTTACTTTCTGGTTTGGTACAATTTATATAGTACAAAAAAAATGTCAGTTATTGGGGTAGATGGGTGAATATTGAAGATTCCTATTTCATACGAAATGGTGTTGTTACAGCTCCCAAGAACATAAAGATGTTTGTGCTGGACGAGGCCGATGAGATGCTCAGTCGAGGGTTCAAGGACCAGATCTACGAGATTTTCCAGAAACTGCCCAGCAGCACACAGGTTATCCCTCCTTCCCTAAATTTTCTAATACATCTCGTTAAAAAGATGTGATTGATGCAACTGGTATCTCTTTCCACTCTATGAATTTTAGTATATTAAATATTAGGCCAGGAAAGATACAACTTTTTGTATTATGTTACCCTTTATGTAGCTGTCATTGGAAGCAGACTAATGGCATCCCATGAATTTTCTTTTTTTTTTGGTAACCTCAACAATCACATTACCTGCCAACCTCCCTTTCTAGAGTCTAGTATACTCCTGTCTCAACATTACCTTCAATCACTTTCTTTCTCTCTCTTAAGGTGGTTCTTCTGTCGGCTACCATGCCAGTAGATGTTTTGGAAGTCACAAAAAAATTCATGCGTGACCCCATCCGAATCCTGGTGAAAAAGGAGGAGCTGACCTTGGAGGGAATTCGCCAGTTTTACGTCAATGTAGAAAAAGAGGTAAATAAAGACATTCCTTACTTTATCGGCTAAAGTCCACCTGTTTCCTAGGTGTAATGTTGTAAAGTAGATGATGGTTGGATTAGTGGTATTTAAGTGTCCATTGGTATTCGAGCTGCTTTTAATTCCATTTGCTGGGGTTCCATAGGAGTGGAAACTGGATACACTCTGTGACCTGTATGAAACCCTGACCATCACACAAGCTGTCATCTTTATCAACACAAGGAGGAAAGTCGACTGGCTGACTGAAAAGATGTGTGCCAGAGATTTCACAGTGTCAGCGCTGGTAAGAGGCAGTCCATTAAAGTTTTTTTTTTTTTTTTTTTTTTTTTTTTGTTTATTTTAATATTGTCATTCACCAACTGAAAGGTGTTGTGACAAAGGAAACTACTCAGTTTTCTAAATTTCTTACGATAGCTTTAATTTTCAGTTTATACTTTTTTTTTTTTTTCCAGTGAATAAATGTGCAGTTTATTCCGTGATGCAGTGTTCCTGTTACGGGTCTACGTTGTGATACAAATAAAATTGTTGTTCATGTTGTTTTTCAGCACGGGGATCATGCCCAGAAGGAGAGGGACTTGATTATGAGGGAGTTCCGCTCTGGTTCCAGTCGAGTTCTTATCACCACTGACTTGTTGGTATGTCACCTTATAAAGATAGAACACTATTGTAAAAGAGATGAGGTCAGAGTTTCATCTGCCGATACCTAATTAATCTGATGCCTTGTTTTCTCCTCCAGCATGCTGTGGATTGCTATCGCTTAAGACGATAGTGTCCCTGTTTATGGCATGTCATGCACAGTTGAACATTTGGCCTTAGTTATCGGATTGGACGAGCTATAGTTGATGGATGTTTGTTCCTGAAATTTTCTATGATATCAGAGCAATGGATTGAGCCATCCCTAGTTCCTAGGAAACCTGTTAATTTTACATTTTGCTGCCACTGTTGATGACAATATAGTACTGTTCTGACTGCAGTCCAAGAATCCCTCTCCTCCTAGCTGCAGTGCTAGCGAAGGACTGAATATTCATTGGTAGAGAATCCTTGTCCGTCTTCCACTGTGAGTCAACATGTCATTGATTCATAACTAATTGTCAGACGACACTTGAGGGGGTTCTGAGTGAGGACTCGGTAGCATATCTAAACTCTTTGCACCAAGGCAGTCGTTTCACCATATTTTAATGAATTGCACTGTGAAATATTTTTCTTAGACCTAATTCGCACTGGGTGAGTATTTTGATATGTGCTACTAAATGGCCCAATCAGAGACACAGCTGGATATGAATGGTACTAATGAGAAAGATAATTAAGGTTTTTTTTTTTTTTCACCAGAGTTATCAGATGATAATGCACATTGGTTAGAAGCTGAAAGGGACATTCCAACTATTGCCTTTTATTTTGTGCTATTACTACATCTAACAATATAATGTTAAAACAAGATTGTTTTCTTAAATGACAATGTTTTGTTGCATATTTGATTTGATCCGCAGGCCCGTGGTATCGATGTCCAGCAGGTGTCTCTAGTCATTAACTATGATCTGCCAACCAACAGAGAAAACTACATCCACAGGTAATAATAAAAAAAAATTTTAAAAAAGCATTGCATTCAGACTGTCAGACTACAATTTCCAGTCATTCCAACTTAATCTGAACCTTAACAGTCGCATATCTTTCAACACCAACTTGTGTCAAACGTTGACATGCTTGGACTTGATGCTTACCTTTTTTTTTTTTTTTTTTTTTCCTGTCAGGATTGGTCGAGGTGGTCGTTTTGGCAGGAAGGGTGTAGCCATCAACATGATTACTGAGGAGGACAAGCGGATCCTAAGGGACATTGAATCTTTCTACAACACCACCATTGAGGAGATGCCCATGAACGTAGCCGATCTGATATAGAGAAAGCCGACAAGCTCTCTCTCTCTCTGCTGGCCATTTTGTTTTAGAAGTCAACTTTCCCCCCTCCCCCCTACGTATGACCACCTGAGCTATAACCTCCTTGACACTCAGCAACAACAATGAGCCATGTGTCACCATCTTTTGTAATTATAGATCATCATTGAAGGGTAAATTACTGATCAACGTTATCTGTTCTTGCCATTTACCCATACAGCACCTACACTTCTTCATCCTGCATTTATTTGAACACTTGCACAGCAGTACTGCTGCAGAGTCAGGGCTTCAAAAAAATGCAAGTCATGAATGGAAGCGCGACAATAAACACAGCTGAGACGATGGCGAACACAAAGCTTTAGTAAAGTGGCACCTATCGAGGGCTGCCTTTGGCTGGAGTTCCCACTGGACTTTACAACAGGAAGTACTCTTTGACCACCTCAGTATTTAACAGAGCTTTAGTGTCCTAAACACGTCAATGTTCTTGTTTAAAAACTAGTTGATGGGGCTGGTTGAAAGAACACGCATTCAATAAAAAGACCTATCTAGAAAAATGATCACGAATTACTTTTTTTACCATTTTTAACCTTGTCTTGTTTTTCATAACTTTTTCGATTGTACACATGGTTTGATTTGTACAGTCGCCGGACCATTAGCATATATATTTTTTTTTTTTGAAGACTGATAAGCGATCACCATCGTGACGGTGAGTTTTGTGGAGTCCTTACTGCAATGCTGATTTTTTTTTTTTTTTTTTTTTTTTTTTTCCCAATTCCTACAAACATTTTAGACACCTTTTTAACAAGGTTTGAATTTGATGAATTGGAGGTCCATCTCTTTGCAGCCTTGCACAAAATTTCTAGGTGGTTTGCTGTGTAACTTTGAAGGACCAAACTTTAGCGGAAGTACAGACATTGATCCTGTCCTGGGACCGAGTGTCTGGTTTAGAACACATTTTGGTTTGTATAGTCATGGCTTTTTTTTCTTTTTTTTTGCATATTTTTTAAAAATGAGTCTATGGAGCTGTTTGCCTTTTTGAGACAGAAAACGGTGTATTAAGGTTTTTTTTCTACATTGGATTCTGTATAGTATTTATTGGTCTTTAAAAAAAATAAAAGCATCTCCTTAACAGTCTAAAATGGCCTCTGCATTAATGACAAACATTAGAGCTGCTTGACAAGCCTCGCACTGAGACATCTACATTAAGGATTTGACTGAGAAGACACAGGTGCATTAGTAGATTTGGGGCGGTTGAAAATGTAGGCTGCTAATTAGCCACATTGTTTGATAAAATTGTTACCAAATCAGCAAAACGTAAATTTAACATCTATGTCTAGGAGTGTTGATTTCAATTTCCTAAGACAACTGATATCAAAACTGAGAGGACCCTTTTCTGTCCCACAAAGAAAAACGCTGACATTTCAGGATCAAGGACTCATTGACAAGGAACTGTTCACTAACGAGAGGTCATAATAGCCATTAGAGATACATGCAGGATTTTACCTACCCAATTTACCGCTTATAAGATATTACACTGATAAGGGTATCAGCAGATACTCCCAAGTTGCACTATTGGTATTGGACATACCAGTAGTACATCTTGTACACAGTACACATAAGCTGTACATAGCCATCCTTAGGTAAAACATTCATTGAAAGAGGGTTGTTGACCAGAGGAGAGCGCACATTACCTCATGGGTCTATCACAAACCTCTCCTTCAAAAACGGACAGTTGCCCTTTTCTATAACTTTCGACAAATGTTATACAGCCTGAAATGATATAGAAAGGCTTGAATAGTTAAATAATTACAAAGAAGCATTTGATAATGCTGGAACTGCATCCATTTTGTCATACAATGTATGGAGTTCTTGGCAAATAAACTGAGTACAGAGCAAATCAGCTTCAAATGCAAAGTCCCAAAGTGCTTAAACTTCCTTTGACCCATTTCAGTTTTTGTGTTGTCCAAAGTATTTTTTCATTTTCTTCTTGAAAGTCTAACTTTTTCTCATCCAGGATCACGAACTGGTGCTCAAAATCTGGATACTTTAATGTGTCGTGGAATGTCCATGCAGAGTTTGTTTACAAATGTTTTGGCCGTTATTGTGCAAACCACTCAAATCAGTCAAATTATTTGACTGTAATTAGGTTAAACCAATAGTTTGATTTTAGATTATATAAACATTTAGAAAAGCTCATACAAGACATTTTTTAATTCCAACACTGTATTATAAACTATTTAGTGAACTTTCTTCCTTTTAAAAACGACCCGCAACATAATCAGTGTATTTTTTTTACAACATAATCCGAGTGTTGAAAAGTCCTTAGAAATAAAATTGAGGCGTTCATAATGTATTTGTATTTACAGCTCGACTCCACCAGAGGGCAGCATTGCTGGTTTTGGCGAAATCACTGGCTGTCAATTATAGTTTTTTATAGGGTAGGCTGTGCAATAAGTTTACAGTTATAGTCCTCCATGATACGAATTTCTTCAAGACACACACGAGTTTCCGATCCAGTACTACTTTTATCCGTTATACCAGTATAAATCAATACAGTTTTCAATTGTCATTTTCATGCCAGGTTTAAGGTTTGGAATTGTTTCTCCTAGTTGGTCCTGACTTAAATTGTATTCCATGGCATAAACGAAATCCTATAATAACAGAGCAGGTATCGTGCTGTTATCACATTAGCTTCTAGCGGGTTAGTACACATATACAGTAATAATGGCATGTTAGCAGTGCTTTGCACATAATCTGTTAGTATCAACTTAGTACACATTGTTTTATTTTGATATTGTTGTCGATATTTAAAGGGCCAAATAATTTAACCCCAAAAAGGGACCATGGGAATTCATTAAAATTATGTTTTGGCTCAGTTGTTTTCTGTGGTACAGCTCCTTAAGCAACATTTACAAAACATTTAAAAAAAGATGATGGATAGATAGATAGATAGATAGAT